TGCTCATTTTGTCCGGGAGGTCTTATGTGTATCCTTATGATTAATTTCTAGTTATTACTAAATTAGTAGGACGACGTTAGTTAGGGTTATCATTAATTATATATTGGATTTCATAGTGGTTACGTGTTCTATATTAGTAACGCATACGAGTATATGCATTGAGTACTTATAGATATTATAGTATTTATATATATAAATAAGTAAATAAATATTAACTAGTATTTTATTTATGTCATTACAGGCCCTATTTACAAGAGATATTTTATCTCAACAGGCTTAGTACAAACAACCCGAAATTCAATCCCAATAGCCAAAAAACAGACTGAAAGAGCAGCCCAATGTTGTAGCCCGTTTGAGGAAACCCTAGACCCATTAGGGTTTCCTTGTCACCAGCTTCCATGCACCGTTGAGCCTCCCTCCATTGGATCTGGCTTCACGATCCAACGGTCCCCAGATGTCTGTGATCCCGACCCAACTGCAGACTCACGTGAAGCCACAACCCTGCTGCCAGATCACGCACGCCCAACCGGACAACAGCTCGGCTCCCCACTGCTGCCGCCCGTGACCTGCTCGCTCCAAAGCCCTGCAAACACACCAAACGAGAGCAGAAACAGAAAATAACAAAACTGAAAAGAAGTCTATCAGTTAAAAATAAGGATCGACGATCAGAAAAAAAGGGGGAGGGGAGTCTATGAATGATTAGCAACGACCATCGAGAGAAAACAGAGAAAACACATCAAGAGCCATCAATAAAAAAACCACGAAAAAACCATAAGCAACAACGACAACTCAGTCAAAGAAACCAACCATTTTTTTGGCCATCAATAGAACCCAAAAGAATCCATACCCCGTTTGTGAGAAGGTAAACCTTTCGTATCCCGTTGATTTCGAGCTGTGCATGTCTGTTTAGGCCTCGGGTTTCAGGGATTTGAGGGGTTCGATACAGATTAGGTCGTAGGTTAGTCGAGTGGCGGGGTGGTGACTCTTAGGCTTCTCATCGGATTCTTTTGGGAAGGGAAAGTGGTGGCCGTGGTTTTGTAGGGCCACTGGAGTATGAAACTAGTTGGTCATTTTTTAGGGTAGTTTGGTTTTAGGTTTCAGGTATATGTTGGTATTTAGAGGGTTTATCGTCGGAATAAGTGTTAGGTGACGTCTAGGCTCCTCATCGGAGCCATTAGGCGTCAGAGGTGGTGGAGGCCGTGGGTTCTGCTAAGGCTCGTCTAGGGTTTGAATGGGAGAGAAGAGAGAAACATAGAAAGAAGCGGCTGACGGGTTTTGGGGGTGAGGGAACAAATAAATTAGGGTTAGAATATTTTACCCTGATATGTCATATATTGCCACGCCAAAACGACGCCACTTCGTTTAGGTCCAAAACGGCGTCACTTCGTTTAGGTCCAAAACGACGGTGTTTTGATATTTGGGGATAAGCTGCGTGTTTACTGGGAAGGGTTAATCGTGTGAGAGGCCTTCCTACTTTTGTTTTGTCTCACATTGGTCCTTAAACTGAGCTTGGTTATAATTTTAATTTTGTATCTTAATTTTTAGTGCATTTCATTTTAGTCCAGTTACATGTTTTGGCTATTTTCGCGCAAATTTGACATTGGATGTGTAATTTGGAAAGCTTTCATTTTGGTCCTGGAGTCAGTATCTTATGTTCTTTTAATTTGGTTCCCTTAGTTTACGTATATTTTATTTTAGTCCTCAACTCGTAGCTTTTCCATTTTTTATTTTGACTCTGTATGTTACGCGTGTTACATTTCGGTCTGAGTTTGTTGTTATATTTGATTTTGAATGTGATTTGTAATTTTGATTATTTGGTAATTTAGTCTTATAGCATGTTCATTTAGTTTACTGTTAGATTTGCAGTTTGCATGCCTAGCTTTATTTTATTTTATTTTGGTCCTTCTTGGCATTTTTAAATATGAAATCGAGTTATTAATATTTTGTTTAATTTTATACTATTTTACGTCAATACATGTTCATTTTGTTGTATGCATGTATGTACCAAGTCAATCATAATTTATCTTAGACCTTGTAAATAAGATAAATATTAATTTGGATGTTAATCGATTTAGCATGAAAGCCCTTGTAACACATTAATAAGAACATGATAGGTTTAAAACATTAAGAATAAAAATTTCCTTTGTAAAATGGGTGGCCATAAATGCATGTAAAAATTTTATTTAGATGTTTATTCGAATGTATGGCGCTATGTGATTAGTTTTTGCAAGACATCCTTTTGCATAATGCATGATACCCTCATCAGCATAACTCGACATTATTACATAATTTGATTAAGGATAATATCCTTTTAATTTAAAATTGTTTTAAGTTGGTTGTCTTAACTAATTAGATATTTGCTTTTGACGATTTTAAAGTAGAAGTATATCCCATTAGTGATACCTAAAAATTGATCCGTCATTTTAAAATTTGGGAATGGAAGAAAAAGAAATGTTCGGCTATTTAAATTTATCGAGAAAAGGTTGTTATAATTATTTAAGATCTGGTCTCGATATTTTTAAATAATCGAACATTCTTTATCTTTCTAAAGACTTGATAATTTTAATTTAATCTATTTTGGTGATTTTGAATATAATATGTTGTTGTGTTGTTGGGGATCATAAATCAAATTAAATACGAATTTGTAAATTTCATTGCAAAGACATTAATTAATCGACGAGGTACCGATTTAGGGCGATGTGGGGGTGCTAATCCTTCCCCACGCGTAATCGACTCCCGAACCCATTTTTGGTAATGCAGACCTCAATTTGTTGTTTTAATTAAAATTAATTTTTATTTAAAATAACAAAACATTTTGGGTGCCTGATCACACCCTAATCAAAGATCGGTGGTGACTCTTCGAATCCGTGTTTTTATTGTAAAAGAATTTCCAAATTTTCGAAACAAGAGGTTTTTTAAAATTACTTTGTTTTTAATTAAAAATTCAATCGTAAAGAAAATAATTAAAAATGACGTGGTTTTCCAAATCTCGCTACACCACCGTTAAAAATCGTTTCGACAAAAGGAATTATTGATAATGTTAAGAATGAATGAAATGATATATGTGCATGAGTGTATTTATTATACGAATGTATATATGCTTGTATATAAAATGATAGTATTAAGTATTCATGCATTGTTATAAGTTGGGATTTACATTATATGTTTTATATGCCTCATTAAGTCTTCGACTTAGCGTGTGAGTGTTTCACACGTAGGTTCTGGAAAGCAAGAAGAGAAGTCCAGATGAGCAAAACAGGTTAGCATCTTCCTTACGAAGTTCAGATCAGAAGAGAAAATGAATAATACGTATTAGGTTATAGAGAATGTAGTTGTCATGTAATGAAAGATTTGAATTGTATCTACTCTGATAAGTTTTGTAAACTCTTTGATTCAAATTGTATAAATTATGCCTTTTGTTTTAATAAAAGTTTGAAATTTTATTCTTTTGGAAATAGTAAATGTTTTGAAAAGTCATTGTGACGCCTCGGACTCGTATCCGAGTCGGGTATGGGTTGGGGGTGTTACAGTACGGATTTAGGATGCTGTGGGGTGCTAACCCTTCCCCATACGTAATCGACTCTTGAACTTAATTCTTTGGAACGTGGACAAAAAAACATCGTTTTAATAAAATTCAAATTAATGCTTTATTAAAATGATGATTGTTTTGGGTGTCCAACCACACCCTAATCAAATATTGATGTCGACTCATTGAACCATGTTTTATTTTGATTTTAAAAAAAAATCTCAAATTAAGCGAGACGAGATTTTTTAAAAATATCACTTAAAAATTAAATTTATTTTTTAAGAAATCGTTTCGACATCAACAAAAACACCTTTTAGAACAAACATTTTAAAATATCATAACGAACAATAAAATTAAAGATTTGAAATAATAGTGATTTCTAAATTTTGTTGATTAATAAAGAATATTCTGTTTGAAAATATAATGGATAATAAAATATAAATCAAAATTTTTTCTCGATAAATAATATGAATTTACACAAACTTTATTAATCTAAATATAATTAATAACTATATTTTAAATTAATTTTTAAATATATTTATAGATGTGTACATAACTAATATACATATAACTGATGGCAAAATCAACGAGATAATGCGTTGAATTTTTTTTCACGAGATAGTGCCCTCGCCAGATTAATTGCTCAGATGGGATGATCTCTACAGTCCCCATATAGGTCGCCAGGTGCTCCGGGCGACGTCCCTGTTAGATGGGGTAGGTCGCCATGCAGTCCCCAAAGGTCGCCATGCAGTCCAACACTCATTTTGCTGTAAAATAGATAGGTATTGCACCAGAGTCCAGAGCGTAAAATAGCTTCTCGGTCACATAGCTCTCTGTAACAGTATTTTCAATTGCGAGGACGAATTTGTAATGAGACATGGCGCAATGTAAATGGTCACACCACTTTGGGTTTTTGGGATCATTTGCACACTCAGGGTAGAAGGAAAGGGCCATGTCTAAACCACCAACATTGTTCAGGCATTTGCCAAGCATGGATTGCATGGCGACCTTTGGGGGCTGAATGGATTGCATGGCGACCTACCCCATCTAACATGGACGTCGCCCGGAGCACCTGGCGACCTATATGGGGACTGTGGAGATCACCCCATCTGAGCAATAAATCTGGCGAGGGACACTATCTCGTGAAAAAAAAAAATCAACGCATTATCTCGTTGATTTTGCCTATAATTGATAATAACTCCAAATTAATTGGTGTATATATTTTTCCTTACAACATATAATATGATATGCTAGTATAAAAATTATAAACGAACACTACATTAGTAATAGAGATCGAGATATCCTACAAAATTTTCAGCACTGGACCAGCAGTTGGAAGACGGGATGTTTTTTTTTCTTTTTTGAGATTGAGAGGAATCCGAACGTATTAATGGAAAACTTAAATGTTTTCTGTTCTGGAGTGACAAAAACGCTTAATTCAGTCTTCTCATCACTTCATCCCCGGATTCCTTCGCCGCCATAACCTCTCTATATAAGGATTGGCACTTATCATCTCAAAGTCATCATAAGTAGTTTTCTTTAGCTAGACATGGATTCTGCTGCTACTGCATTGTGGAATTCTTCCCTCCACCAGTTGAGCAATGTGCCCTCAACCTTTGTTACTACCTTTCTGCGCTTCTCCACAACCCTTGTTGCCATGGCTTTCGCTCTGTATTACCTCTACAAGTTCCTATTCGTAGGCAACAAGAGAGAATTGCAACCCCGTCTCCCTCCGCTCCTTCTAAAACCTTGGCCTGTTGTGGGAAACCTGCCTGAAATGATCCAAAACAGGCCCACGTTCAGGTGGATACACGAGCTGATGAAAGATGTTAACTCTGGCATCGCGTGTATCCGCTTTGGGGACGTGCATGTCATTCCCGTCACTTGTCCCGAAATCGGCCGCCAATTCCTGAAAATCCAGGACGCTGTTTTCGCCTCGAGGCCAAGTATCATGTCCGCCGAATTCACCACCAAAGGCTACTTAACAACAGCGCTGGTGCCCATGGGAGATCAGTGGAAGAAGATGAGGAAAGTGATGGTCCATGAACTGCTTTCCACAAACCGACATCGGTGGCTCCAAGGAAAAAGAGATGAAGAAGCTGATAACCTTGTGCGTTACGTGTATAACCTGTGCATGTCTGCAGGCGGGCTGGTAAACGTGAGGGTGGCTTCACAACAGTATTGCGGGAATGTGCCTAGAAAGCTGCTGTTCAGCAGGAGGTACTTTGGGGAGGGTAAGGAGGATGGAGGACCTGGATTTGAAGAAGAAGAGCATGTAAGTGCCGTTTTCACTATTCTTGCCTATCTTTATTCGTTTTGCGTCTCTGATTATATTCCAAGGTTGAGAGGGCTTGATCTGGATGGTCATGAGAAAGTTATGAAGGAAGCTCTAGGGGTTGTTGGAAAATACCATGATCCTATAATCGATGAGAGGATTCAACAGTGGCGAAATGGTGAGAAAGACGGCAATGACGACTTGCTTGATGTCTTGATTTCTTTGGAAGATGCCAAGGGTAACCCCTTACTCACAGCGGATGAGATCAAGGCTCAAATTACTGTAAGCTAGCTTTCTCTCAATATTACCCCTCCTTCACATGCACAAACTTTAAGGTTAACTTGAGTTTTGCAGGAATTCATGATTGCGACGGTCGATAATCCGTCGAACGCAGTGGAATGGGCACTAGCTGAGATGCTGAACCAGTCGGAGATACTTGAGAAAGCGACGGAGGAAATAGATAGGGTTGTTGGAAGGGAGAGACTAGTGGAAGAAAATGATTTCCACAAACTCAACTATGTCAAGGCATGCGCCAGAGAAGCCTTTAGGCTCCATCCAATTGCACCCTTCAATGTTCCTCACGTGTCCCTTGAGGATGCAACCGTTGCTGACTACTTCATCCCCAAAGGGAGTCATGTGCTTCTAAGTCGCACCGCTCTGGGTCGGAACCCTAAGGTTTGGGAAGAGCCATTCAAGTTCAAGCCGGAGCGGCACCTCAAGGAGGATGATGGGATTTCACTGATGCTGACTGAGGCAGACCTGCGCTTCATCTCCTTCAGCACTGGCGTTCGTGGGTGCAAGGGCGTCTTGCTCGGGACTACCATGACCGTCATGGTGTTTGCAAGGCTGCTTCAGTGTTTCAGTTGGAGCATCCCGCCAATTAATGGGCGAACCATCGATCTGAGCGAGGCCAAGGATAATCTGTTTCTTGCGAATCCGCTGGTTGCAGTTGCAAAGCCCAGGCTTCCCGCTAATGTGTATCCCGTCAAGTTCACTTTGTCCCCTGTGTCAAAGCTCGCTTAGTTGGTCTAAAAGCTTTAAATAATCAAGACCATCGGAACAATATATACAGAGTATATGCGCGTGTATCAAGACCAAAGCATGCAATGTGCACTGAAATGTACCATACTGCACTGCTTGCAACTATGTTATGCTTTTACTTATATAAGTATGGTACAATGTTATGCTTTTACTTATATAAGTATGTAAAAGGGGGATGAGTTGACGTCCTCATCAGTTTTAGTTACTAAACCTTTTTATTTTAATTAGTTACTAAACTTTTTAAATAGCCAGGATGTCGGTTACATCTACTTGAAACAAAGAACAAAATGACACAAAGTTACAAGACACGTATAAAAAAGAAGACTGAAAATACCATGGGCTCCTTGCTCCTAGTTTCGCAAGCGCATCATCTTCTGCGTTGACGGTTCTAGGGATGTCTGCATCATTTAAACCTGCAGTTTAATACCTTATGAAAAAAGCTATGGACAAATTTGTCCTTTTCAACGGACCATTTCCATTCAAATGGTGTAGTTTGATTTTATGAATTGGCTGCAGATTTCACTTTTGATTTTGCATGCAACGTAAAAGGGTTGTAATGCTAAACCGTCGATGATGTCTATGTTGATGGGGTCATTTTTTAAGGTGGATATTGATATGCATCATGGAAAAGTGCAATTCAATGTCATTTAGTGTAATGAAAATAATTATACTTCTTCCGTCCCATAATTTGTATTTTATATTGATTATATATATAGTTTTAGGAGATATATTTGACTAACAAAAATAATAAAATTATTCTTAAAAAATAATAGATTTATTGTAATAGGTGTAAAAGAATGTGACATATAAAAATAAAAAAGAAAATATAAATATTATTATTTGTTAATTTTTCTAATAAAGCATTTCAAATAAGAAAATTTTAAAAATACAACATTTCCAAAGCACTCGACACTTGATAGCCCAATAAGTAAGTATCGTTGTTTTTGGGAATGGGCCTTTGGGCCATTACAGGCTGCCTGAGAGGAAGTATAAGACTGGCAGCAATATTAAATTGGATTAGCTGAAATTTGGACGGTTAGCGTTGACCTGGCTAGAATAGAGTGAGAACTGACAAGAGGTAAAATCAAAAGGAAACAAAAAAGGAAAATTGGTTTTGGCCTCTAAGGAATTGGGAATGGAAATATAGGTTTGGGAGTGGAGAGATTGAAGCTAGCAGGAACGAAAACGTATAGTAGATGTAGATGGATTGAGTAAATAAATAGGAACAACGATTAGGAAGGAAATGGCTTACAGAAGGAGGCAGCAGCAGCAGGGAACATTGCCTTCAGCACCAGCAGCGGATGATTTGATAAACGTAGAAGTGGATACAGCCAAAGCCATAAGGGCATCTTCTGCCCGTAAAGGTTCATCTCTCTCCGCTGCTTACGGCTATGATTCCCTTCATTCCAGTTCTGCTCCTCTCTCCAAGCCCACTTCCACCGCCACCTCCAAGGTTCTTTTAATCCTTTTGTTTGATCGATTTTTTTTTAATTTTTTTCTGTGTGCTTATTACAATCTTTTTCCTCCTAAAAATCCAAACTTTTCTAACGGAACTCGTTTTTGACTCCAGGATTCCCAATCTCATCAATATGCCTCATTGAAAAATTCAGATGAATCCAAGCAAGGGTTTTGGGGTTCTCTTGCTAGGAAAGCTAAAGCCTTTTTGGATGAAGATCATGAGCACCACCAATTTGAGTCAGGCGGACAAGCTAGATCTGAGCTGCATCAAGGGCCAACCTCGGAGAAGGTCAGAGTCCAACATTGTGCTCTTGGTCAACACAGAACTATATACTAATATGCATCAGCGGCTTCATGATGCACTTTATTTCCTTCTCCATTTCAAGTTCTTGCGGTTATTTTGCTTTCGATTTTCATTCTTTTTTTCCCCCTGATAGTCACTTGTTAGATGGAAATGCTTCTTTACTCGTTCATTTAGGAGTTTGGTCTTACCTATATTTGAATATTTGTTTCCACTTTTTGCTATCTGCAGTACCGTAATGAATACCAGTCACACGATAGGCATCACAAAACTGACAATCCCACTTTGAAGAAGGGCCTAGGTGCAATTGCCTCATCCATTAGTTACATTGGTAAATCTGTTGAGGTCAGTTCATCAGTTTCCTTACTTTTTTGTTGGTAATAAATATACAAATGTTCCTAGTATCAATTAGCTTGATTTTATAAATTGTATGTTCATAATTAGAAAGGGAAAAAATGGACACTTTTGATTTATTTAAACTATTTCATGCAGCTTTTATTCTTTTGGTAGCCAAATTTTTACCTCATATCAATCTATTTGTCATACCACTATCATGTCTTTATCATACTTCTTGAAATTGTTACAAACCTATAGTTATTCATTCTTCATCAATTTGCATTCAGGAGGGTCTTACTGTTGTGGAGAATAGGACGGCAGGCATCATTCAAGAGACCCGCAAGCATATCAGGAAAAAGCCTAGTGGTTCTATGGCACCAAATCAGGCTTCTAAGCAACCACAAATGCAGTACCAAGAACAAACATCTGTGCAAGCTGATGCAGAAATTCAATTGAAGGCATCTCGCGACGTAAGGTGGCCGCTTTGTGTCACTGGTTCATACGTTCGATGTATTTTGCTGTGTGCAATTCATAACCTGTGGTTTTCTTGCTCTTGAATCCTCATTTCAGATTTTCTTTTAGCAATATAAAAGTGACAATTGTTCTGAACATGCAAAAAAATATAAGATTGTTTTTCTTCTCTATTTATCATATTTGATGTAACTCTCTGTTAACGATGTCTTGAAACCTTTTCTGAAAAGCTGTTTATAAGTTCATGGCATATATGTAAGAGCATGAAAATATAAAATCAAATAGTATTCATCACGTGGAAGACAGGTTGTTTTATAGAAGATGTGAAACAAGTTGCATAGATCCTTTTTTCATTGTTTTAATCTTTTATGTAATAACTTCCGTGCGAAATTGGATGCATGATTTGGCTCTTCATCTTTTTAACAGGTTGCTATGGCTATGGCTGCCAAGGCAAAGCTTCTTCTCCGAGAGCTAAAAACTGTCAAAGCTGATTTGGCTTTTGCCAAGGAGAGATGCGCTCAGCTGGAGGAAGAAAATAGAATCCTTCGCGAGAATCATGAAAGAGGAGATAACCCAGATGATGATGACTTGGTATGCAGTTTCATCATTTTATCCTTTATTATATTTTACTCATATGAAGGACCCAGATGTCTCTTTTGTTTGCAATAGAGTTCAGATTTACTCCTTGGAAAGACCAATTACCGCTCATTGTTGAACCAGTGCATTTTTAACATCTCACTATTAATTTGATTAAAAAATTGTAAGAAATTAACTGTACATAATATTCCTTCTACTATTAAACTTTTAGCATTTTTTGAATCAAAATAAAGAAAAGCTGCAGTTAAAACCACACTTGATTTTCTGTAACAATAAGATGTCTCAAATGATTGGATCTGATGCATGTAGCATATTAGCATATTGTACGATAACTCTTTACCACCGACAATTAACAGTCATCATATACCAGGTTACAACAAACAAAAGAAAATGAGAGAGAGAGATAGAAACGTAGAGAGAGAGAAATTGAAAGGGAAGTTTTCTTCCGGGAAAGTTTGGTCGGCGTTCATCGATAATCTAAGTAGAAGAGTGTCTCGACGAGTTAAGGGAGTTGTTCTCAACTCAGGGTCCGGTAGTCATAGTGTTCATTCCTAAAGAAACAAGGAATCCGAAATACAAATTCTCCGCATTTGCCTTTGTTCATTTTGGTAACGAGGAAAGTCTAAAACGAGATATTAACAAGTTAAATGGTTCATTGATTGATGGTTGGAGATTTACAGTTGGTGTTGCACGATACAAGGAAGCTCGTATGAGGTCAGCGGGGCAGAATAGCTCACTGGAGATGACTTTAAAGCAGGTCTCAGTTGATACTCAAGGTCAAAAGAGAAAGTTGATATTTTTTTTTATAAGAATTGCAGGCCTCTTTAAAAACCCCCGTCTTGATTAAAGGTGCTTGTAGAGAAGCTCCCTAATCAGTGGAAGGAGGAAAAGAGTGCCTTAGAATTTCATTCAACACTGAAATTACATAAGAAACAGCCATACAAACACTCCCTCAAAAACAGAAAAACATAAAACACCCCCAAACCACCAAAAACACCAACACTGACTTTGGGTAAAACCAATTTAGAGACTGCAGCAGCCTCCGGTTGGTTTACCCTTTACAATAATATTACAAAGAATCAACCACCACAAAGCCCATCAAAAAAGCACAAGACATGCAAGAATTCTGTTACAATTAACCAATCCCCTGCTTAGCTAGCCTGTCAGCCTCCAAATTACAGCCCCTAGGAATCCATCTAAGGACGACCCCCTTGGCCTTAATAATGGCTTCAATTTCCTCCACCAGATCACTAAAAAAAGAAGGGACAGGTTGCAGATTTAAAATCCAGTCCACTGCACATTTGCAGTCGCTCTCAATAATAAGTCTTCCCTTGTTGGCCCAATTTGAGGAATAGAAAAAATTCAAACCTTCCTTGATAGCTTTCAGTTCAGTCAAAATAGGCAAACCAGGCCCTACTGCAGAAGAGAAGGAAGCTAGAGACCCGCTGGAAGAGTCTCTCAAAACACCACCAATACCCCCTTGCATTCCATCTCCAGTCACTGCTCCATCAACATTGAGTTTAAACATATCTGCTGGAGGAGGAGACCAGCCAATAACCTTCTTAGGACCAGTAGAAATGAGAAAAGAATCTGCCCTCGTAGGATCCCCTACTAAAAGGTCTGTCTGAATCCTAACCGACGGATGTTTTGCTAAAAACCATTTCGCCAACCTAAATCTAGAGATAAAATACAGAATTGAACTATCACATTTTCCATTTTCAAAGACAACCAGATTTCTTACTTTCCAAATTGACCAGAAAATAACAGCCGGAACAAACCTCCAAATAATAGAATTATGCCTAAGATTGGACCATGAGCA